ACCAGAATTATCCATTTGAGAGAGGGTTGGAGTGCAGGGTATTCTCTTTCATTGTTTAAACTGAGTTCAACTCCTGATGCATGGAGAAAAGGGCATCAAAAGCCTCTGCTAATGTGTACATAGTTTATACTAAGTGACCCACAGGTTGAGGAGGCGGTGGCCGTGGGGGTGTAGGTGGAAGCAGCGGTGGAGGAGGAGGTAGCCAACACTGTTTTTTATTTGTTTGTTTGTTTTTTTGAATTGGGGTAGCCCTCAAAATATTGGGACATATAAAAAAAGAAACATTTCGGTCTGCAGTGCATTTCTTGCAGTCCTGATGCATGGATAAATGCTCAACTCCTGATGCATGGAGAAAAGGCCTTCACAAGCCTCTGCTAATGTGTACCTAGTTTATACTAAGTGACCCATAGGTTGAGGAGGTGGTGACCGTGGCGGTGGAGGAGGAAGGAGCGGTGGAGGAGGAGGATGAGGTAGCCAACACTGTTTTGAAATATATATATATATATATATATTATTTTTTTTTAATTGGGGTAGCCCCCAAAATATTGGGACATATAAAAAAAGACAACTTTGTTCCGCAGAGTAGCTGTTGACATTATAGTTGCGCAGGAACTTTGTTGACTCTAGAGAACCTCGGGCAAATCGCACATCCTCGTGGCGCCGACTTTGTCATCCATATCAACTTTCGATGCCAGTTTCTGCGCCTACTATGGTGAACACGGGTAATGGGGAATCAGGGTTCCATTCCGTACAGGGACCCTGAGAAATGGCTACCACATGCAAGGATAGCAGCAGGCGCGCAAATGACCCACTCCCGACGCGAGAAGGTAGTGATGACAAATAACAATACAGGAATCTTTAGAGGCCCTGTAATTGTAATGAGTCCACTTGAAATCCTTTAACTCTGATCAATTGGAGGGAAGTCTGGTGCAGAGCCACTGACCAGTGCGTGCTGCAGCTGAAACTCCACTATCGCCTGCTGCTGCTGCTCGCAAAGTCTCATGAGGCGGTGAGTGGGAAGGCCGAAGCTACGCTACAGCGCAGACAGGCGAGCAGCAGCAGGGTAACAATGCCAAAAGCGTGCACAGCTGCTACAGTGAATGTCACATACTGTTCCAAGTTGCGGATCAGTCTGGTGATGGCTTCTGGTATAAAGTACTCTTTTTACAGAAGCTGCATCAGGGTCCTGGTATGTAGCCGCAAAAACACTGATGCTCAACACCAGAGGGCATGCTGTTACTTTGCACCTGATCCTGCTAATCCATTCCACACTGTGACTCCTAACATCAACATCAGGCATACTGGGTCCCGGTCGTCCAACCGCCGCCCAGACAGTGTCTGGGTCCTGGTCACTGTACTGCCCACCTCATTGTGAAACTACAAATGGATCGTTAAATCTGGTACGAACCCGCGCTCAAGTCTATTATGGAGCCTTTGATCGCTACATGTATTACTTGGATAACTGGTAATTCTCAAGCTAATACATGCCGACGAGCACTAGGGGATGGCCGCTCCACTTTTGCACCCTTCTCCCTCTTATGCTGTGCTGGTACCTCTGTGCGACCTGCGCCTCTTCCTCTAAACTGCACACGTCACTCGCATGACCTTGATTCCACCCACTCCTCAACCCTGCCCTCCTTGCGGTATGCACACTGCAAAAAGCCACATTAGTTGGCACCTGTGTTTTTCCAGCATGTAAAGTCTGCAAAGGACACATGGAAATAGTTTTAGAATTGTATCCAGGCAACAGTTTTCCCTATAAACTGTAATACAGCGAAATAAATGCTTTGTTCGCCAAACCGCCCTAATAGATGGACAACAGGGCGTAAGAGGTTGTACAAAGCCTTATGGTCAAATGGTGATGTCAGCTCCACCAAGGGCTTTTACCCTAATAAACTACAAAATAATGATGAATGTGATCTCCACCTGGGGAGATCTTAGAATGCTGACAAAAATAAATAGACAAATATGGAGTAATTGTACATAGATTGAAATGGATAGTATGGGGATCTGATAGAGGGGAAAAGGAAAAAGTAAACCGAGGCAAGGGAACATTAAACTTATCAGTTCCAAAAAATGCCCTTGAATGTCCTATTTGGACTAGATCAAAAAGTAAAATAAAAAATCTTTATTGAATCTTAAAGTTGAAATAGCCAAAGATGAGCCCCCCCCAAAACAAGAAGGGGAAGGCACTATACTGAATCCCCTCTATAGAGACTAGTATATGGTAGAGATAGTACTACAGTCTTAATATATTGACGTCTAAGATTGGTATTGAAAGTAGGACTGAAAGATATTGAAGACAAAGTAGTAGGGCTTATACCTTCCGATAGAGTAGTTAATGAGCAGTAATACCTATTATAGGTGGAGGTAGAGAGGAGAAAATTGTAAGGCAAAAGAAGAGTAAAACACACTTCCTGGTATACTTAGTATATGAGCCTCAAAATAAATCCCTAAGCTCTATGAAACACCTTCATGGGTGTTCTAATCTATTGCTCACTCTAAAGAGGTATCGCCCACTGCCTGCTGCTACCAAATCCCAACTGGCTACAAGTAAATAAAAGAAAATAAAGTTAATCTAAGTATACATTCCTATTGGTGCATATCCTTTAGTGAGAAAGAAAAAAACTAAATAAGTGAAGTAAAAGCATGCCGGTCGCCCGACGCGCGTTTCGGTGTACGATGACACCTTCGTCAGGGGCTGAGGAGATGCCGGCTAAAAAAGCCGGGACTTTTAAAGGTCTAGGAGCCAATCAGCTGCGAGGGTTCCCTACTCCTGCCCCCGCCCGGAAAGGATCGTCATTGCTGACGTTCGTGATAACCCTCACGTCATCTGTGACGTACAGTCCCACGTGTACGTATGGGGAGACGGGGGTGGGCTGACATCGTTTGAGTGACGGCGATGTCTGTATCAAGCCCATCCCTAGTCTAATTCATACTCTGGGGATGTAACTTCAGCACGCTGGATAGGAGGCTAAAGAGCCCCCACAACTCCTAAATGGGGGTTGAAACAGTGTCATTGTTGTGTTGATAATATTGTAACACTTTAGGGGAGAATTCTCTTCTTCACAACTTTGAATGAATACTTGATGTGTATTTGATTATTTGTAATTATAAAAATAGTAGGAGAGTAATGAATGATAAATAAATAGTCTGGATAGTCATTGTTAATCTGCATTTTACATTAGCACCTGTCCAGACTATTATCTTTTTTAATCTACTTGAATATATATCTTTGGCTACAAACTTGGAGTGCCAAGATATAATTTTCTTTGAGAGTCCCAAGGTTCTTTAGGTCAATCTCCTTAGTAAATATAGCTTTAATAATTTCAAAAGCTGATCATAATTAAGTCCCCCTAGTCTAAAGTGGTGTAAAGAGCCCTATCCTATGCCAGCTCTACTGATATTAGTGAATAAAAAATAAATATGAAAAGAAGTGGCTGTCCCGGACCATTAAATTATGACCTAAATTTCTAATATTTACAAAAATAAATTATATACAATGTTATTACTATTTTGATTTGTCAACATTTATTACTGTGAGATCACGTGATAAAAGGAGAGTAGGAGAATCCCTCATTCAGTCCTTTAGGGGACAGTGTTTGCAACCGGTAAATCCATTCTCTCTTCCTAATTTGCTGATCCCAATTGCCTTTCCTTTGATCTTGTTTTATAAGTTCAATGCCTTGAAATTTCAAGACAGTGGGATCGCCCTGATGGATAATTTTGACATGTCTTGAGACTGGGGTCTCTATGCGTCTTATTGTCTTTACCGAAGTGATGTGTTCCAAAATTCTTCATCTGAAAGGGAGAAAAGTTTTTCCCACATATGACATCCCACATTGGCAGGTGATCAAATAGACTAGTCCTTTGGAACTGCGGTTAAAGAAGCCTGGGGTATCAAAATGCAGGCTGTTGGAGCTATTATTGAAGGTCTTAGTGTCTTTTTTGATAAACTCACAGGCCTTGCATCTGCCACATTTATAAGTACCTTTAGAATTAGATCCTCAACCTTCTACCTCGACTCCAGATGAACAGAATAGGGGAATTCTTAAAAAAGGGGTTACTTTTTTAGACAAACAGGGGGAAGGTTTCCCCCAACGACGACTAAGACCAAGAAAACAATACAACCGGCGGAATCAGTTCTAAATAAAAACGAAGTTGTTAATTTATCCAAGTACAAACTCACACCATCGGAAGTAAAAATATTGGGTAAAGGGCTGTCATTCATTCCAACCCCACACTTTGATAAGTTTACCTGGGTTAAAGACATACATTTATTTGCCAAGAAACTCCTATTACATAAAAACTACCTCCTCATTGAGGACAAAAAGGCAAAAGCATTAGGCTTAAATCCCAGAGATTACAAGATGGCCATGTTACTTGCGGACCTCCTAGAGGAGAATGAGAATGGTGAACAACCAGTATGTCCCCTTACAGATCTTAAGAAGAAAAGCCAATATTGCCCTAAACTTGGGGATGCTAAATATGTTGAAACTTTTGTGGAATTAGTATGTAATGAGATTGAAAAAATCACAACATCAGAACTAACTCTGAAATCTAACTCTAACTTATCTACAGCAGAAGTAAGGGCTCTAAATTCCTTAAAAGACAACAAGGAAATCACGATTAAGCCCTCTGACAAGGGGGGCAATATCGTAATTATGGACACCCCTAATTATGTAGAAATGACAAAGAGAATATTGACCGATGTCAATACATATAAAGTTATCAAATCTGATCCGTCAATAAAGTTTTTAGATGAGCTAAAAACAATTCTACAGAAAGGATTGAAAGATAAAGTGATCTCAAAAAATGAATATGATTACATCTTAAGTGACAGCCCACGTATTTCAACTTTTTATAGCTTACCCAAGATACACAAACAATATAAAGTTCTCACCGGAAGACCTATAGTCTCCGGCAACAACAACCTGACACAAAATGCAAGTCTGTATCTGGATCAAATTTTGAAACCTCTGGTCACTCGTTTACCATCATACCTTAGAGACACAAAACAAACCTTGGCAGAACTAACTAGGATTCAAATGCCTCCACAATCTATATTGTGCAGTCTAGATGTGGAGTCCCTCTATAGCTCAATCCCCCACATCTTAGGTTTAAAACATACTAGCCATTTTCTAAGAAAAGGAGGAAGTCAGTTCGACAAACATAGTGACTTCACAGTACAACTCCTCAAGTTTATTTTGACGCACAATTTTTTCCTATTCGATGGAGTATTCTACCACCAGGTGCAGGGGACAGTGATGGGGACATCTTGTGCACCCTGATATGCTAACCTGCACCTGGGATGGTGGGAAGAGCAAATAGTCTTTGCAGACCCCAAAAGTGACCTAACACAATACATCTATTACTGGAAGAGATATATAGATGACATTGTAATCATATGGACAGGTACAAATGAACAGTTTGCAAATTTTGTACAGAAGCTTAATGTGAATGATTTAAATCTTAAATTCACAACTGAGATAGGAACCCCTTCCTTAACTTTTCTAGATCTTGTTCTAACTCCGAATTCCAATCGCACTATTAAGACCAATTTGTTTAGAAAAAGCACAGCCACAAACAGTTTACTCAGTTGGGGCAGTTACCATCCAGTCCCCCAAAAAAGAGGCATCCCCATTGGTCAATATTTGCGACTCTGGCGCAATTGCTCAGATGTTGAGGATTTCAAAGTAAAGGCTAAAGATCTACGGGCTATGTTTAGGTCTAAAGGGTGTAGCGGAACGCCAATATTAAATCCACGAATTCTGCTGGTTCAGGAAGTAATCCACAGTTAAGCGCTGGAAAAAGCAAGGCAATATCCCAAATCTC